CCCCTTGAGGGTTTCCATTTGTTTTACGAATACTTTCAAAATGTGGTTAATTAGTCACATGAATAAATTTGCCATCTAAATAGATAATTGGTCTTTATAGATTAACTGGTGTTCATTGAATAAGGTTTCAAATATTAGTGTGTGTTACAATACCAAATTGACACTAGGATTGAAGTGAACAAAATCAAGACATCTAAGTTAACCATAGATATATTTATGATTCTTTATCAAGTTGATGTGTAAAATTGATAAAGGTTTGAAATCTTGGTAACCCAAAAAAAAAAACGCAACGTTAAAATTTACTTTATCATTAACATGTCCATTTAGCATGTTAATCAGACGTTAAGAGATAGCATTACTTTATCATAGTTTCGACTCACAAACATGCAGAAAGGATGCCGCCAAAGAGTTCAAGAATCATTTATGAACAAATAATTTGATATAGAAGCGCATCAATACAACCAAAATATAGAAAATTTGATCTTTATTTTACATGTCAATATATCATTCCAATATTCACCATAAGTTAATGCAAATATGAAAAAAATATTATCAAATATACTTATCTATTATTTAATGAGAATTTTAATTTATAAATATCAAAAATATTTCTTACCCGTGCATCGTACGGGATTCGTACTAGTATATATAAAGTATCGTGGTAATAATAAATCACAAAATTAGTCAAAATTAGTTAGGTATGTTTGTTTAGATCCAACTGCCTTTATTTAAACAAAAATGTATACTTTTTGCTGCAAAATGCCACACATTTCGAAACGTGATTTACAATGTTTGTAAAAAGTATGACATTTCACTTAAGTACATAAATTTGAACAAAACCCAAGGGAACAACACTCACACTGACCATTAGTAAATACGAAACCCAAAAAAAAAAAACAAAAAACAAAAAAGAACAACTGATGCGAAATTGAAGCTAATCGAATAAGTAATAACAAGCATTATACCCTTAAGAAACAGAAAGTTTGACTAACATCGAAACATTTTGCCTCCGATAAAGTCAACGCCTATTACAGATCCATACAATTTTAAAGGCTGAAAGTTTTCTTTATGACAGTAACCATCAGCACACTCAATAGCAATCAATCAAAGCAGTCAAACTCAAATGTCTACCTCACTTCATGGATTTCAGTTATTCCTGCAATTAAACACTTAAAAAATATGCTTCTTATTTTTTGTATTCTTTGAGTTCTAATTTCAGAGTGTCAAAGTAGTTAAGTGCCCTTATATCTCCACATTCATATAAACTCTCACGCATATAAGCACATGCAAAAAAACTAAAACAGAATGTAAGAAGATGATGATAATAATAATAATAATAATAATAATAATAATAAAAATAATAATAATAATAATAATAATAATAATAATAATAATAATAATAATAATAATAATAATAATAGAACAAGAAATATGAAAAATCATAAGCAGATAAAAAACGAACCTTTATCCCAAAATCCATCCATAGCAGCCGATCCACACCCATCAATAAAAGTAACCCTTGCACTTCGCGGTCCCACACAAGCACTTCTTCTTCCCTTTTTCCCCATTCCCATTCGCAACTTTCCCATAATCATATGTCAGCTCCCGCATAGGCGGAATATGACGTGCAGCAAAAAAAGCCACGTGCAAACAGACTTCACTATCACCCTCACGCAAAACCGGTTGCCAAAACACATTCGGCGAGCAGCTATGGTTCATAAAACGAGCCACATTCCCATTATTCTTAGCACTAATAACAAGCGGATATGAGGTCTTCTTAGACGAGTCATAAACAGGCTCCAAAGGTGTATACTCACGAGTCGCATCGAATACATAACTATTATCATCATCATTTTCATTTCCGAAATCGCCTCCCTCGATTACATCGCCTGCATACTCACAGATAAAACCTCCCGCCCGAATCGGGTCCCACGATCTCAGCCCCCAACCTCGGCTTTTCGTCTTGAACACCTCCAAACGTACCTTAACCCCCGTCTGTGAAGTTCGATTACGGCAATTCAAAGGGCACGCGCACGTGGGCCCACACTCGTATATCGGCGATTTGATCGTTAAAAGAACTCCGATAGACGAATAAGGGATGAGACCACCGTCATTTCTCTGGATACACGGGCAGTTCGAGTCGCCAGGCTGGCATCCACCTATGCAGTGACAACCGAACGAGGGCTTAGTTACAGAGAAAGGCCGAGTGTATCTCAAACTCGAGACGTATGTGAAATGTGCAGGCCCCTTTTCACTATCCACATCATTTACAAGTGCAACTGGAATACTCTCGGCTCCCGAGGTCAAATCGGGCAAAATAATTCCTGGTCGAGAGATAATCCCATCCTTCCACTGCTGAATCGATTTCCACAAAGAGAAACCTTCAGGCTGCCCGGGCACCCGAACCAGCTTGTACTTGAACACATTACAGCCCAACTTATTTTTCTCAGCCCACGATTCTTGTATTCTATAAACGCCATCGTACACGTAAATCTTCCCGGTCGTCCAAATGTCCTTTATGCCCCTCACGACCCGAACATCGTTCGCGCGGTGCAAACTCTTCTCCAAAGCGAGGTTTCCCCTCTCGAGCTTCTGGTCGAACATTTGACCGTCCCTCCGCTGGACCCCACCTTGACCGCTGTAAATCAAGACGTCACAATCGTCCATGTCATCATCGTAACCGCCGGACGAGACTATGCTGACAGCCAGAGGCTCCTCGTCAGCAGTGACTCGGACGCTCATGTAATCTATTCCGGCCATGCTCGGAGCATGTAAGCCCACGATGCAAAGCTCCATTCGGAAAAAGAACATGTCACCGATTTCGAACTCGTGCAAGTGGCCGATCCGTTTGGTATTGTTAGTGCGGACCCCTTTGCTCATCATGAAATTCGCGGCTTTCAGATCGGGCCGCCTGGCGATACCCGGGCCACGGGACTTAGACTCCTCGAGCTGAGTCAGCTTTTTACGGATAAAATCGTAGGCCGAAAGTATGGAGGCCACTGTGTCGCTATCCCCGGCTGACCTTCGAAAATCGTTAAATTCATTCAGCTTGAATAAGGTCAAGAAATGGTTGACCAGGGACTCAATGTCAAACTCCTCCCCGTTTCCGACCCGTATCATTTTGCGCCGACCAGGAGCCCGCCGTTTGCCAGTGTTGCTGCTCGTATACTGGTCGCTCGGGTTTTGGGAGTCGTTATACTCATCGTCCTCCGAGAGGGCAGGGCCCGATGTGCGGGTGCGGGAGGACCGTTTGGGCTGGCCCGACCCATTTGCCTGAGTGATGGGAGTCCTAAACGAGTTGAGAGGAACTGGGGCGGGTATGCTGCCAGGGGAGAATACGAAATTGGGCTGCGGAAGATTGGGCTGGGGGCCCGAATTAGCATGTTGTGGGCCGTTTGGGGAAAGGAAAGGGTAAAACGGCTGGACACCGGCGGGAAATGGGCCTGTGAGCTGAGCAGCAGTGTTTGGAGACAGGCCAGGTGAATTAGGGAAAATGGGGACTAGGGTTTTTAGAGGCTTCACTTCCAAGATTACAGATTTATCGATTGACCCTGGAGTGGCATTTGAATCAGAACCTAGACCTCTCTCCATTTGAACAGTTCTAAATCCAAGTTCTGTGAGCTTAAGAATGATAACCAAATTGGGCCAGAAAAATCTTTAGCAGAACAGTACAAAGAGGATTCTGACTGTGAAATAGCTGCTGAATAGAAGTGCGGTGTTAATTATACAAATGAACTCAAAGAGATTTCTTTACCAAATTCAATGCGGCATGAACCAATTTCCTGCAACATGCAAAATATTAACCGCATATTAGACCGAAAAAACAAAAAGAGAGAGAAGTTCAAGTAAAAATCAAATCTTTACAGAAATGAACAGCAAATCCCTAAATTTCAACTGAACCCTCCAATTTATATACAGAGATTATATAGAAAACGAGTTTAGCAGCACAAAACAGGCACACATTCGATACTGAAAATCAAGAAACTTTTTGGCCTAATATAATTTGACCTAATTCAACAAGACAAATTAAATAAAAAAAATGGAAAATAAACGATTTTCTCAAACCTGATCAGGATTAGTGACGAAAAATAGAACTTAAAACTGATAAATTACCTCTGGTTTACAGAGATCTTCTCAGTGCCGCTTTTTATTTTGATTTTGATTTTGATTTTTATATTCTTTGTGTTTTCATTTTTCCGAAGTGAGAAATAAAGCGCTGTTTTGTGTTTTGTGTGTGCTTTCGTACTCTGCAATTCCTTTTTAGCTTTATCTCCGTTTTATTTGGTAAAAATTGTTGTTTGGTACCACAAAATTACTTATTATTTGTTTAGTACCCCCAAATTTCTTTTTTAATTAATTTTTATACCCAAGTCTTGTCAATTTGGAACTTGGTACATATTATTTTTTTTTAGCCAGCCACGGTATCTAAAACTATGCCCCGACTAATTCGGTGGTCGACTCAAGTCGCACACCTGGCAGTGGTGGGTGAGTCTCCCAACAAAAATTTTCTACATCCACAAGGAATCGAACCCGAGACCTTGCTTAAGCGGCATCAAGCTGCTTACCACTTGAGCCAACCTTGGTCAACTTGGAACTTGGTACATTTTTTGTCACTTGAGCAACGATTAATATTTAATATAATATTTTAAAATAAAGATATTATCATTATCATAAAGAATAATTTTCAAATACGGTACATTTTAACCATTGACTACAATGTTTAATTATATAAATTGACTTACAAGTTTCCAAAAGTATAATGCATGTATAAAAGATTCATCATGATTTTCAAATATTCATAATTTGTATTGATAATTGGAAGGTAATATAATAAACACAAATATTTTTTAAAAAGTGTAATTTTCATGAAATCCAAATGTGGATAACAAATGTACTCATGGTACCAAAATTAATAAAGTTGAAATTTTAGGTACCAATAAATGAAAATAAATCTTGAGTATCAATTTTTTAATTATTTGTTAATTGATTACATAAAGAGGCAATTTTGGAAATAAATTATTTTATTAATTTAAATATATATGTACACAGATAATAGATGCAAATTAATATGGCAACAATTACAATAATATGGTCTGATTATTATTGCATTAATTTGAATTGATTATTGATTTTTCATGATCATCATTACATCTGACACCAGTTAACTGACACCAGTTAACTGAAAATTTTATTTCAATTTAGTAGAGGTGGCAAGGGTCGATCCGGCCCGAAACCAGCCTGGACTTACAAGTCTTGGAACGGGACCCGAAAATCGGGCCAGTTCTGAGTTCAGCTTTTGTGGTCCGGTGACCCGTCGGGCTGGGTCGGGTCGTGAACCGGCCCGGCTGATTGCCATCTCTAGTCTATTCAGTGTTTTCATTTTTGGTCAATGGGTACAAACTACAAAGCAAAATGACAATATATTACAGATTGATGTTATTTATAAAGTATTGACAAAACATTACATGAAATGACAACATCACACATAAATAAATTTTAAAATTACTTGGAATTCAGCTCAACTCCAACAAAATCTTATATTGAAAATTATAAAACTCTGTAAAAGATTGTATAATTTCATATATTAACCCTCAATGTAGATGAAATTTGCTGAATTTAAATATATAATAATGGTCATTGACTTTTGAAGTGTCTCAAGAGTTTTGTAATTACACAAACTTGGACCAATCATCAAGATAATCCAATTTTTTTATTTTTATTTATTTATTTATTTATTTTTTGTCTCAATACAATAATTATACTAAAGACAACAAAAAATAAATATAATTCAATTAGTTACTTATTGAACCAATGACCAACACCATTTATAGTAATCAGATGAATAATGATATTTGGTGGATTACCATAAAATATTAGATTTTTATTTATTTTATTTTCTAAATTATAATATTTTAGTATAAAGAGTTATGATTTAGCACTTTGTTTAGGCTCTTTAGGTTAAAAAGAAATAAATAAAAGAGTTTAGAGATAAACAGTAATGCTCCCCTACCCACGCACATGTATTAGCACACCGTTGATGTGACATACACACATTGGTAATGTATTTTTTTTAACATATTAACATCACCAAGTGTGCATGTCACATAAGCGGTGCACATAAATATGTGCTCACCGTGGATAGAGGAGCATTACTGTAGAGATAAATGATAATAAAAAGGGATAAGTAGGGCCAAGACTTAAACTTTCAAGAGATTACTTCATTTTTTCTATTGCTTCAAAGCAAAATATATCAAATCTATTTAAAGCAAAGACAAAAAAAACAAAAAAACAAAAACAAAAAAAAAAATCAAAGTCACATTTTTACTCTATTTGTTACTCTCAAGACTCATTGAGATAGAGAATCATATTGTAAAAGCCAGTTTTAACTGTCTTTCCCTCTTTTTTTTTTTTATTTTTTTTTTCAACAAAATCTTCGGCAAAAAAAAAAGAGAGCCCAAAAATCAAGATTTTTTGGTTTTTCTGGTTGCTAATCTGCAGGTAATTTGAATACTGAAAATGCTCTGTTGGAGAAATTTTTGCTTTTTCTTGTATTATTATTTTGTGCCTTTCTTTAAATTTTGGGTCTTTAGATTGATTGCCCACACACACACATACACACACACACACACTCAGTGTTCATCAAGATCTTGTGATTGTGTGAGAATAAAAATAATATTAATTGAATTTTTTTGTTTATCAATTTAGAGGTGGCAAGGGTCGGTCCGGCCCGAAACCAGCCCGGACTTACAAGTCATGGAACGGGACCCGTAGAAAAATCGGGCCAGTTCTGAGTTCAGCTTTTGTGATCCGGTGACCCGCTGGGCCGGGTCGAGCCACGAACCGGCCCGGCTGATTGCCATCTCTATATGAATTGATTCTCCTGTTTGGGCTTTAAATATTATGTCAAAATCTGTTAGACCAATGAGAATTTTTTTTTTTCTTTTCCTTTTGGTAATTCTTTATAAACAACATAAACTATAGTTTATCATTTTTTCACTTTTTTGATAAAAAAGTTTTAAATATAAAACTAAAATTTTGGTCTCAAATAGATATGAAAGTATTATCATCTGTTTAGTAAAAGGATATGAAGCAATTACTTGATAACAAACAGAGATTTTAAATTGTGATAATTGTTGCCTTTTTTACATCAAATGCTTATCTTTCTTTCACAAATTCTTCAAGCTGTTAGAAAAGCTGTATGTTAGTTATATTCTGTTTTAAGCTTTTGCTATTTTTTGTTTTGTTTACAAAATTTTAACTGAATATATATAGCAAAATCAATTCAATCTTTCATCACTTTCTTTTTTTTTTTTTTTTTTTTTTGGTTGTTGTTGTTGTTGTTGTTGTTGTTGTTTTTGTTGTTGTTTGTAGTGATCACAAAACAGCCTCATCGAGCCTAGTGAAAGAGAGGATGGCCTCGGATTATGCTTTCCGTACATTATTTCATTTTCTTTTGCTCGTTATACTTTGCACTTTCGATCAGTGTTGTGCAAATGGGATCAACTCGACTCAGACAGCATCGTTTTTCGTAAATTTCTCCGAACAGTCTACGAGAAAGATACCACAGACGATGTTTGGAATATCATTCGAGGTGAGGTTTATTGCATTCTTATTAGGAGAAACTAAGGGAATTTAGTATTTACCCTTTGGATTTTATCTGATGTTTAAAAAAATATATAGTTATTTTCCGAAATCATGAGCATCCCCTAGAAGTGTTACAATACTGTCTTAAAGTTTCTCTTATAATTATGCCTAAGAACTATTGTTTCTCCCCTTAACTTTTCATAAGTGGACGAGCATCGAACAGATATTCTGTAATTTGTAATATCAAAAGGGTTCTTTCTTTTTTGTTCTTTTCTTTTTGGTAATAAATCCGAACTTTAGGCCTTAGGGAGCTTTTTTTGTTCAAATTAATCTAATGGAAGTGCCTTTACTGCGTCGTTTGTGAAAATCGATTATCCGTATGATGGTTTTTTGACACAGCCATTTTAGTAGCTTTTGAGGTTATCAGATTATATACAACTTTCCAAATTTACACTAAGTGCTTTCGGAGTTGTTCGGCTAAACCATATATCATCTTAATTATTAAAAAAATGGTCAGGAAATCAATCATGCCGGTGCCGGAGGATTATGGGCAGAGCTTGTCAGCAACAGAGGTTCGTAGAAGTTGAAAATTTTAAAAATGTTAATGCCATTCTTGCCGAGCAACCATATATGTCAAGATTATAGCGATAATTTTATTCATGCCGAGAGTTATTCAATTATTTAGAATATAAGATATAACAAAATTATGATAGTGTTTGAATTATAGACTGAGAAATGATTAAAATCTGCAGGTTTTGAAGCTGGAGGTCAAAATACGCCTTCGAATATAAGTCCGTGGACCATTATTGGAGATGAGTCCTCGATTATAGTCTCGACCGATCGTTCTTCTTGCTTTGAAAGAAACAAAATCGCGCTTCAAATAAATGTTTTGTGTGAAGATAATATGTGTCCAGTTGGTGGAGTTGGAGTTTACAACCCGGGCTTTTGGGGCATGGTTGATTTAAAAAAATAAAAATAAAAATCAAGTCCTTTGAAAAATTCTTGCAAAAGCATTATATTCTGATCTTGTTACATTTTTTCTTTTTTTTTTTTTTTGGCTTTTCGGTCGCAGAATATTGAACAAGGAAAGATATACAAAGTGTCCCTTTATGTTCGGTCTTTACAGCCGATCGAACTTTCTGTATCACTATTCGGATCAAATGGGCTGCAAATGTTAGCCACGGCTGTTATATAGTAAGCATGGCTTCGTGTTTTAATATTCTAGAAACTATTTATTTCATTTATTTCATTTTTTTTTTTAATTTCCTTGTTTTGTATCTTATAGTTGGAGTTATTAATGCAGTGGTGAAGATGTTAAAAGCTGGTCAAGAAAGGATGTTCTGTTAGTAGCACAAGGCACTGATTCTAATTCGAGATTGCATTTAACGACCAAGAAAAATGGCACTATATGGCTCGATCAAGTGTCGGTTATGCCTTTGAGCACTCACGAGGTAATTTGGTGTTTCTTTTTACCCCAAAGTATCGAATTCAAAGCCAGTTTTTATGTGGTTTTGCATGAAACTTTTCGCACTAGTGAGCCGGTTATTTCTTGATGTATATAAATATTTGTTTATGACTTTTTAAGTAGTTACTAGATTTTAAAGAGTCTTTTGTTCTTGATATAGGGACATGGATTTCGACACGATCTTTTCAACATGCTTGCTGATTTAAAACCGGGATTTATTAGATTTCCAGGTTTTGCTCGTTTTTTTTCTTCCTTCGATTTTTTATATTGAACGACTAATTTGACTAAACATTCATTTCATATACATGTTTGTTTCGAATAAGGCGGCTCGTTTGTCGAAGGACAGTGGCTTGTGAATGCATTCAGATGGAGGGAAACTATCGGAAAATGGGAAGAGAGAAGTGGACATTTTAACGATGTTTGGAAATATTGGACAGACGATGGGCTCGGTTTTTTCGAGTACCTCCAAGTAATAAATATGTTCACCTTTTCTGATTTTTCTTTCTTTTTTTTTTTTTCTTTTCGAGAATCATACATAAAGTAACTTCATATTTTCTGTAGTAAATCTTCTTGTTTTTATGTTTGTTCTTGCAGCTAGCTGAGGATTTAAATGCATTGCCCGTCTGGGTTTTTAATAATGGTATCATTTTGATTGAATACGAAAAAAAATGAACTTCTTCTACTTCGGTCTACTGTTTTTTTTTTTTTTTTTATTTCTCACCAACTTTTTTCTCTATATGTAGGAATCAGTATTAACGAGCAAGTCGATACTTCGACTATTTCACCTTTTGTGCAAGTATATGCTCGTTTTCGGTTCTATTCTCATACAAACAATTAAACTGCCGAAAAAATATCGTTATAATTGATATTAATGAATAAAATTCAGAGCTATTTTATTGTTCAGGACATTTTAGATGCACTTGAGTTTGCAAGAGGAGACCCGAATTCTAAATGGGGCTCCGTTCGAGCAGAGATGGGCCGTGCAGAGCCTTTCGATTTGAGATATGTTGCTGTTGGGAATCAAGAATGTGCAAATATGAACTATCATGGTAAAAATCTTTTCTTGGGGTAAAAATTACAAAATACTACCCTTTGAAGTTTAGCCCGAAAAGAACCCAATCCTGTTTTCAAAAGTCACAGATATCAGTAAATACAAACTTCAAGGGGGGTGCATTTGTTATTCGAAAGAGAACGGGATTTTTCGATGCTATTATTTTTCGTTTATTACACATTAGCCACCTTACTTACTCATATTTTTGATAGGTAATTACATGAAGTTCTACAATGCTATAAAAACAGCCCACCCGGATATCAAAATTATCTCAAACTGTGATGGGTCCGTTGGACCGTTGGATCACCCGGCCGATCTGTATGATTATCATGTAAGAATTTTTTTCAAACTTCAGTGACTTAAACTCATGATAATCTAAATAATGCTGGTAAATATGATTTGTACTGTCAAAAAACTCGTAAAAAACTGGTGATTTTGTGCGTGGAAGGTTTACACGAGCGCAAATTCTATGTTCTCGATGGCTCACTACTTCGACCGAACCTCACGAGATGGGCCAAAGGTTTTTTTGTCTATTTTTCTTTCTTTCTTTCTTTCTTCTGATTAATGTAGTTTGATATTCTTTTATATGTAACAATTCTTACATTAAACTGAACGTATAATTCGTTTTTTCAGGCTTTCGTGAGTGAGTATGCAGTGACGGGTAACGATGCTGGCAGAGGAAGTCTTTTGAAAGCACTTGGTGAGGCCGGTTTTCTCATCGGGCTAGAGAGAAACAGGTGATGAAGATTTTTATATCCACCATGAAAAATTACAAAAGATCATTAGCCTTTTCTTGCTATAAATTTCATATAAGATTCATTTTGCAGTGATATTGTTGAAATGGCAAGTAATGCTCCTTTGTTCGTGAACGATAACGATAGAAGGTATGTTATGTTGTTTATCTATATATCTCTTAAACCCAATTTTTCGTTAATTATTCGAATTTGCCTAACGGGAAGATATTTTTGTATATTCTCCTTTTTTTTTTTTTCCTTCGTCGGTCTTAGCTTCAATGCAGATGCAATAGTTTTCGACTCTTCACAAGTTTACGGTACTCCGAGTTATTGGATGCAGCATTTCTTCAAAGAATCGAATGGTGCCATCCTTCTCGATTCCTCATTGCAATCGAGTCCTTCGAATCCTCTTATTGCATCAGCTATTTATTGGAAAAACACAGAGAATAACAAGAACTACTTGAGGATAAAGGTTTATTATAATCTGATTGCATTTCTAAGTGACATTACCTCACAATAATATAACTTTAGCCTTAAAAAAAAAAAAGATGGAACTGCATCTGAAACTTTAATGTCTCTTTGTCCAGGTTGTGAACTTCGGGAGCAATGGGGTTCGTCTAAGCGTTTCGGTACAAGGACTCGATAATAACCTTATAGATTCGAAAGGGTCTACAATAACTACACTTACATCTAGTAATGTGATGGATGAAAATTCTTTCAATCAGCCACAGAAGGTAAATTTTAGTTGCATTCTGAATTTTTATTTGTGGCAGTTATAAATTTCAATCGTTCTTCGTTTACTGAGTTTCGGGTCGAAACAATTTCGTCCTGTGAAGTCAGAAGATAAAAATCGGAAAATAAAATGGTGAATTTGGTGGTTTTATCTGTATATTGTTGACATTTTTCCTCTTGCTTTGTATATTGCAGGTTGTCCCTGTTGTAAACACACTTAAAAATGCCAGAACCAAAATGGAAATTATATTGCCTCCACATTCTTTAACTTCAATTGACTTATTGATAAAATCAAATGTAATGCAGCCTGCAGAATTTTATGATGTCCATGCATCAATGTAATTTGTGTTCATTCAGTATAATAAAATCTATGGTTATTATTACAAGAACCTAAGAGGACATCAATCTCGAGTCAGTGACGATTTTAGTGATGGATATCGATCAAAATCAAAATGACATGAACAAAAAACTTGCATTTGTTGCAATCTTGCTGTTTTCCCCACTGTAATGTATGTATATCATCCAGTCACATTGAATAATAAGACTAAAAATGAACCTCACAAGTCACAAAAAAGAATAACAAACGAGACAGCACACACAAGCCGGCTTTTCCGAGAACATTACTTCACCACAAGCCGCCAATACTATAGTTAAACAATCTCGGCAAAAATCTGAAATCGGAAAATGGAACTTCACCTGAATCTGAAATTATTGGAAAACGCATTATTTGTATAGCTATTCATCGATTTTCATGATTAGAAATAGCAAGCACTCACATTGTCTAGGAACTGTATTTTTCACTGACCTGATGAGATCCATCTACCATGGTCAAATTTAGTCGATCCCTACAAAAGATATGTCTGGGGAAAAAAAAAAGAAAAGAAAAAAATAAGAAATAATTAAAAGTGTCATTATATCTACAGATGGAAAAATAGTAATATGAGAAGGCTAGAATAAGAGCAACAACTCAACTATGGTACAACATTGGAACGGAAAATGAGAGGGTACGTGCAGCAAAATCCAGTGTTCCAACACTGCATAAATTATGGAATAACGTAATGTGAGTTCACCACCAGAAAAAAACAGTTCTAAAATCATTTCACATTGAAATTAAGTGGCAGTTACGAAAAAGATCCAACAAGGGTTTACATTATCTTTCAAAATTTCAACCATCCGGCTGAAATTTGTGTGCATTTGTAAAAGAAACGAATGGCAATGGTAAATCTGTAACTTTGAAAGATAACCAGTGTGTTTTTGTTTTCTCTTCTTTTCTAGGTAAATAATCAAAACCTTGAAGGGGTAGATTGTAATTAAACTAATACGCAACTTCTGTAACATAAGAATGAGTAAATCATCATTCTTATAATAAAAGAACGAAAGAGCAGAGAACAAAGATGGAAAAATATAGAAAATGGGGCAGATGTCTGACCACAGAAAGCAATGGTCCTTGTTTGAACTTGTCATGGAATGAAAATGCTAATGGCTTCGGATTGTCCCCAGGCCCTCGGATAAATCCACTATATCGGCAAACATAATCACCAAAGCAAGCTCAAAGTATAAAATATGATAAAAACAGCCTAAGAGAGTCAACACGCTGATGAATCGAATTTAAATAAAGTGATAAAGCTTCTCCGGGAGCTAGAAATTAATGCTCTTACATCAATGAAGTTGAAATTAAGGGAGTTCTCTTAACATCAAATATGGCTATGAGACCTTTGCACAACTCATCTCCATCTCTATAGGATACTGCAAGTCTCTCCCCTGAAGCATCCCATGCTATCTTCTCAATAACTTGGCTGCATAGTTTTAAAATTAAATTAGTGATGCGAACCATCAAGAAGTCTAGTGTTAATATATGCGGTGACCGAAACTGTTAAAATGAAGTAGCATCATGGTCAGAGATAATACGAGAATTGGGAAAACAAAACCACATAAGGAGGAGAAAAATGATTTAGATGCATTTGCATAAAGAATAACCGAGAGCCTGTGAGAGAGCCTAAATCACTGCTTATTAAACTAATGGTGTACTACTTGTAAAACAAGCGTAGCACTATTCAAGAACTCCTAAAACTACACAATGAACATCAATAAAAATAATATTTTATTTGTTTTATCCAGCCTACTATTCGGGGAAAAGAATTGGAAAATAGACAATTTTCAAACATGATGCAAGTAAAAAGTAGTTAAATTTATGAAGCAGTGCTTGTTTTTTGTTCTCGGGGAGGCAATAGGATAACCCAACAGAGGGGTGAGTATATTTTCTAACTTCATCGAAGGATTTATTTACCTGTCAGTTAAAGATTTGATCTCTGGTAATTCAACTGGTATAAGATGTGCATCTGGAGAAATACATCATAAAGAATTAAAAAGTTGATTACAGACTCAAATCATATAGTGTAAAAAAAAAAAAGGCACAACATTTTAAATTGCAAGGTTTCAGTGTAAACATAGAGCATTGTGAAAATTCCTTTTAAATCTTGACTACATTATAACATTATATTAACTTGTATGCAGCAATTATGCAATTGCATCAGTAAACATATTTCAGGCAATGTAGTTGAGGTATCACATAAAAGTTACGAGACTATTTTCAGTGAGCCAACTCTGAAAATACAAAGCAACCACCTGTAAACCAACAGAACAACAAGATTGCAAAAAAAGCAAAAGCTCCTGCCATTTGCCCCATACATTTTAATTGAAGATCAAAAACCATCAATATTTGTCCATCAAAGATCTAGACGATAGGATGAATGGAGATATATTGTATACCTAGTGATGGAGGTTTTGAGCTAAAGTGAATTGATCCCAATGCTGAAGATTCAGAAAATGAAAGAAGTATCATGCGCCCATCAGGATCCCACGTTGCTCCCTATGGTCAACAATAAGAGAAAATTATATCATACCTCCATGAAGAAATTGTCCAACAAAAAGCATAAAAGCAAAAAACAGGAGGGAATACATACTGAAGGCACAATTCTACAAAGGAAATTACACCAAAATATCAGATGCTAGGGTTCCTACAGAAAAGCTACTCTGATTCTTATAAGTTATATGTCTCACAAAATTTTTTCGCCTATATGGTCTAGCAGACTAATACAATAAGAAAATGTCAAAAATACTAAAACTGATGAATCCTATAGCTACATGCATGGACAATTGTAAAAGATTACCTGACAGAAGAAATTCCAAATTCCTTATAATCGTTTCATTCAAACAAAAAAAAAGCAATTAAGAAACTCATACCCAATAGCACATTGTTATTAAAGAGCTACAAGATACAGTCAACATGGAACATATACATAGCATCCTAGACATATGAAGAAAAATTAAAGAGAGTGACATTCATTTGACTTCATCTGATTGATAACCCGACGAAAGACAAAAGGGAAACCGCATGAGAATAATAATGCAAATGTTTTATTATGAACATATAAAATGATTGAAAACAGAAAACATATAAAATGATTGACAAGCAGAGAAGGTGACAATTTATAGTTCCTTAAAGCAGATTGTTCACGGACCGTGACAACTCCGTTTTTCGAGGACCATGGTTCTGATGTCCATGTATTTGTCTCCCAGAGATAAAATGTCCCATCACTGCATTGAAACATAAAATCCTGAATGTTAACTTATGGTTGACATAACCTGAATTGTTGAAGGTCTCAACATGCATATTAAACTCAGCAATATCTTGCAAAATACAGTACAATTTTGCAGCAAAGAAATAATCTCCAGAGGGAGACCACTTCAACAATGATATGCCCCCTAAGCCCCTTCGAATAGGAGTTCCCAACCCTGAAATAAAAAAATACAAGGTTGAATATCAAGATAAGAGTGGACTGTAACATTAATACGTTAAAAAATTAGTTGATAAAATAGTCAAGATCTTAAAAGCTAAAGGCTGAGTGCAGAAGATCATGACATGCTTACTCTACACAGGAGTCAAGACTTGCTAATGCAACGAAACAATCTTGAGATAATGATAAATCAATCATTTGTGCGTCCAATGTGTCATAAAGACAGTTATAGCGTAGTATCACTATCTAGCTAATTTAGTGCCATCTTGTCAACAATTGTAATAAAATTCCACTTTTGCAATGGGAGGAACACTACAGACAAATTCCTAGAACTATTGAAATTTGAAACAACACACTACATAACTACTAATGAAAAGAATAATTAACAGGATAAGGACATATACCTTGTGAAACATCCCAAATGGTGAAAGATGAACTCTGAAATGAAGCTGATGCTAAATATGTAAAACTAGTCAAGGAACCTTTCAGAATTCTAATAAATGTCAACAAAAGAGAAGTATCCAAGTATGTCAATCGCATTTGATTGGATTTCAGACAATGATTATAGTTCCAAAATATAAGAAGAGCTAAAAAGTAAAATTAAACCAAAAAAAAAGTAGTTGGTTTGGATATCTTCCATCAGGACTCCATGATAATGCACTAATAAGTTCAGAATCAGAACTTTGAAGAAAATCCACCAGAATCCATCGACTCACGGTGCCTCTAGAAAGTGTGTTTGAATGCACCCCTGATCTCACAGATGGAACATTCCCTGGACTAGAAGCAACCCAGATACAAATGCCACCACTGTCATCAATCATTACAAAATCACAAAAAAAAAAAAAAAAGTATTAGATCAGAATGCCCAACCAATAAACAAATAAAGAAATTGCTTCATTCATAATGAGAAGAGACTAGTTTCACGAGACTGACTTGCAAGCCACAGAAAGAGTTTTCCCTCCATTTGGTCTCCACTCGAGAATCTTTACATCTTTTTGTGACTCATGGGATAAGACACAAGTAGTTTTTCCATCTGGTTAAGTAGAAAGAAGGAAAAGGAAACGGCTCATACCATAACTAAACAAAGGAAGAATAAGCATAAAACATCTTAGGAAACACGAATATAGAAATACTCAAAGGGCAATGAGAAAAGAGCATCGAGTAGTGTGAGGGGAATCAATTACCGGAATCATCGTAATCACAGATTGTCACATGATGGGGTCCAGAAATAAATGCTAAAATAGGTTTGTGGTGGTGCCAACTTAAGCTGTGAAGATCGATTCCTTGCAATAGTTTTACCTAAAAGCAAGCACAAAATAATACAAATTCCATAAGTGATTAAAAACAGTAATGAAGGATCCTATGTCTCTCAAATCTAACCACTCTATATATGCTTTAAAGGAGGTGAGCATAATCAAATTACAGGAAGTAGTTTAAATAAAAATTACTGTTAGACAGCCAAGTTAACAGTTCTCGTTCAAGTCCTAATTACACTTGAAACACATGTGACTAGTTATCTCTCAACTAAATATCACAACTGAGAAAAATATAAGCTGCAATATCACACATTACAATTTACGCCCACAGATTTTTCTCCATGAATAATCGTATTATCACTCAAACTAAATATTCAGCTCATTTTCAGTCAATTTCGTGTGCATTGACAGGATAAACCCAATTCACTCATCTTAGTATTTCAATGCCAGTAACCTCCCCATACTACAAGAAAGAATGCAAGTGTTATCAGCTATTAACTCTTTCCCAAAGCTAATGAACCTTTAGAACTTAGTCAATACCAAAACACAACATTTAATTCGGGAAACTACAAGCAACAGGGATAAAACAATAGGGCAGTGATTATTACATCAGCAGGCTGCAAAAGAGGCCTGATTGAGCCACTCAACAGGGCTTGCACGGCTGCTGATAGAATACCCAAACTGCCCTTGTTTTGCGGAACGGTTTCCAATTCAGTTGCAGCGGCCGATAAGCTGTCAGGCTCGAATGCAATGGGACTAAACACAGTTCCCTGCAAGCAAATAAAATTAATGAGCGAGGAAAACTCAAACAAAAAACGCCCATCCGTATATATTGGTACACAATGATGAATTCAGTGGAGTACGAGGATTTTAGCGTATGTATCCCTGGCCTTGTCATCGCTTAGGTGATCTGCGGTAACTGCATACAGACAGATTAAAAAGGAGATTCGTAAACCTATTTGAGAATCTGAAACCATAAGGCTGAAAATGAAATTGAGCTTGTGAAAAAATGAGGTAAAAAAGGACGACGATACCAAGTTCTCTGTTGATTTCGCAAATGGTGACAGTGCCCGGCTGAGGAAACGACGGCATAGCGAGCGAGCGTGTGTGTGTGAGAAAGAGAGAGGGAGAGTCTGTAGGGTTTACAGGGTTTTGGTTCTCGCCGGAGTTTGCCCAGCGGCCAACTCTTATGCTCAGTCGTCCCAAGTCTCCAAAACAAGAATATGGTCAAGCGACCCAAAGCCAACAATATCCGCGTAGGCAAAAAAGAAAACTTCTACGCCTATTTACATTATGGGCTATAATGAGTCGAGTCGAGCTCGAAATTTTGATGTTAGAGCGCGAGCTCAGATATTTATCGAGTCAAGTTTTTACTAATGGAGCTGATAAACAAGATCTACTTGAGCTCAGGTATTTATCGAGGCAAGTTGTTAACTAATAGAGCTGATAAACAAGATCGAGTTGGTTAACTGATCAATATTAGCTAGTCGATCTCGATCTTTAACAACTCGTCCTCGTATTTATCGAGTCAAGTTGTTAACTAATGGAGCTGATAAACAAGATCGACTTGGTTAACTGATCAATATTAGCTAGTCGACCTCGATCTTTAACAACTCGTCCTCGAACTTAACGAGTCCGTTTAAGATAATAGTTCTTCCTCGAATTGAGCTCACGGGTGGCTCGATTTGTTTAACAGCTCTGGATTTTACTGTAATTTATATTCTTGTTAATTAATCTTAAATTATCGATGTACCTCAAAATATATAGGTAACAATCTTCCCCAAAATTGTAAGTACAAACATGACACACCATTGGTATGAAATATGAACAGAACAATGATATAGAAATGGTTCAAACTCGAGACATTTTACATTCTTGTGGGCACACTTCATGGATTTAAAGAAATATTATGTGAAGTGTCCCTTGTGTTCGCTTTCACTTCATCCTAAAGAATAATGTTAATCGAAGTCGATCTCCAGCGGCTGCAACTGAAAGCTTCGAAAATATTTTCGAACATGATTAGTGACGAAAACACGAGTCTGAACTCAACGAGAATACAAAACTTTACGAAAGATCATAATTTGAGGGTTATAACTTGTAACAAACCACAGAACAAGTAAACCAGTATAAATTATAACTGCAGAGCACAAAATATGACATCCATCTAAAAATGACCAATTTGAATGTTCTTGATGAACACTTCAGCCTCAGCACATTTGAACTGTTCCACAACTAAATCCAAGGCATAGAGTTCAACTCTACTACATCACACAACTTCATCCACAATGGAGTAAAACAAGAGCAACATCATTCTTAATAGGTAATAACTGCTATTGCAGCACAAAGATATAACATCTCCTTACATAAAACACAAAGCCAAAACATTTGGAATAGAAATAAGTCTGCAAATAACACACACTACAGGTGCAAAAACCAACTCAATTCACCATAACACAAGAGTTCATTCAGACAAACATATGAAGCTCCGGCCGGCTGTAAATGTTTTTCCGTTCTCCAACATCTCCACTTTTGTCTATGACTTCGTCCTCCAGCACAGGATAAGAAGCCACGAGAGCATCCTGAGCGCCGATATAAAGTGAGTTATATATCTTCCAGTAAACTTCCCTCACCTTCCTTGCCGGGTGAAACAGACCCTGAAGGCAATAATTCAGCACAACAGCAGCCCCTAAAGCCACCCTCATGCCCTCGATAGCTTCCATAACAGCATTTATAACATGTGGTGATGTCTCGAAAATGTTCGGCCAAATGTAATTCATCAAATGGATCAAAGCATCCTCGCACCCCAAGCCAGCTACACCAAGGGCCATGTGCTTAACGGCCGAGGCAGCTGTCTGCCTGTGTACCAAGTCCCTGTCCATAAGAGCATCCTCGAGCAAAGGGGTCACGGCATATATATAATCCTTGCCCATCTCACCAATGTACTCAAACAAGAAAGAGAGTGACTTGAGGACACCGTTCTGAACGTTGAGCTCTGGCACACGGTACTCGTTCATTAGAGCAGGCAGGACTGTGAAGGGCGAGCATGTCTCGGCCACTATAGCTATGGCCACAGTCGTGCAGACACGGTTTTGCCTTTCCTGGACCTTGAGATTGTTGAGCAGGGTCGCGAGCACGTCTTGCGGGCCAATGGCCTTAGCTATGTAGCCGAAAGTGTTGACAGTGGCCCGCCGAATACCCTTCTTGTGGGCCTTGAGCATCTCGAGCAGCTCGAAGCATATCCTCATCCATTCTCTGGCGGGCACAAACTCAGACCCACGATCAGCAATCCTTCCCACAAGGTCGATGCAGTTTTCTTGTACCTTCTCGTGCCGGTTTTTCAGTATGGGAGTCAGCCTAGGGAGGAGGTCCTTGATCGGTGGGGTCATTTTGGTCATCCCAATAACATTTACTATGGATTTGAGGGCGCCCAGAATAGAACCCAGTACTTCAGGGTATTCTTCCCCGAGATACTCATACAGCACAACGCCAAGATGACCCATCAGCTGCTCCTCCCCACACTGCTTCATCACGACAGCGATCCTTGAAATGAGATCCGCAGCCTGCTGCCGGACTTTCGCGCTCTTGTTGTTGAGCCGCCATTTTATGGTACCGCAAATCTGGGGGAGGTAAGGCTTCACCCTGTGGCCAAGAGAGTTGACCACTGCACCAAACCCGTTGAGCATCACGTTCGCATCGTCACTTGTTTGCTCCTGGAAAGCGTACAGAATACCGTCGATCAAGAGCTCTTCTAAACGCGAATCGATGTCGGATGCCCCCAGGTTCGTGACCACTTTCTCGATAGTCTCCATGACCATCCTTCTGTAGGGCTCGCTCTCGTCCTTGAGGTCCTCGACTATTCTACCCACGATATCGGCTACACCGACCTTATTCGCGATCTCAACAGTCGTCTCAACTAGCTGCTTGTAGTTCCTCCTGTCCAGAGCCATCCTCCGGACCCAGAAATTCCGGAAGAATTCGGGGAGGACATCATTTCTGATATAGTCGGGCTCCACACCCTCAGTGCTCACGCACTGCTTCACGACTTTTATAACAATTTTTTTCATTTCTTCGTCCGGTGATTGGAACTCACGGATCAGGATGAACATGACCTCCTTGGTGTAGTAGCTGGCGTATACAGCGTCCATGAGGGGTATGATGAAACCAATGGCTTTCAAGAAAGCGGCCAGCACTTTGCCACGGTGGGAACGGATACCTTTCCACAGAGGCTTCAAAACCGAGTCGAAGCTCTCGATACCGTACGGGGCCGCGGCCTCTGCAAGGGCTGCCAGTGACAGGGCTGTGATGGTTCTGACTTTCTGATTCTCGTCGTTAAGACCGTGCTCGATGATCTCGACCAGAGAGCGCAAGTGGGGAAGAACAGCACACCCGATTAGAATCGCAATCTGCTGCACAATCTTGATACCCGTATGTCGAGCTTGCCACGATTTCTTGCTCTGACACACGGCTTTTAGAAACGGGAGCAAGGCAGGAATGCCGAGGGCAGAGGCAACTACACTAAAAGCTCTTGCAGTAGTGTTCCTAACATACTCATCAATGTTATCAATGTCTGGCCGCATGGCAGCAATCATTGTGGCCAACCCAGCTGCTTTGCTGAGATTTGAGATGATTTCTCTCCCTTCCACACGTGCATAATAGTCCTCATCTATCAACAGGGGCTCGATAACCACAAGGATTTTGTGCACGTATGGACGCACCAACTCATCCAGCTTATAAAGCACCCGATCAATTACTTTCACAAGCAAGTGCCGCTCCTGATCTTCCAGGGTTGGCTGCATGAGCAGCGGCAAAATCCTGTTGAACAGTGGCCCAGCACCAAATTCCCTCGCCTTATCTGTCAACTGCCTCAAGGCAGTTTTCCTCTGAGGCGGAGTACCGTTCTTAACCTTTAGCAACAGCTTCATGATCTTACGTTCCTTCTGCTCATCGGGAGACAACTCCTCCTCATTTTCTTCATTCAGCAGAGAACCAAAGTACTGATAATCCTCGGGCTTCATGAACGGCAACCCACCAGGCATCTCCTTCGGCACATCAAACTGCTGCCCACGATTCTCTTCAGGGATGTTATACAGAGGAGTTCCCATCGGGGTAGGCGTGGCGAGAAGCTTACGGGCAGGTGTTCGGATAGGGACATATGATGCGGGAGGATCCAATATCTTATACCCTTCCTGTGGAAACATGGCATCGAGCTCCTCATCAGTAAGCGGCCTGTTTCTATCCTCGATATCCTTCTCCCACCTCATCAGGTTATACTGTTCGGGGGTCATTGCACCATGCATTATGGCACTCGGAGTTGGGGTAGCCATATCAACGGCCCCAAAAGGAGTCACACCGGGAGTGAATGCTGCAGCTGGGGTGGCACCAGGTGTGGCACTTCCCATGGTAGCCGGAGTCTCGTCCCATCTCGATCTCTGTCGTTTGGGGGTCGGGGTAGCCAGCCCTCCGAGCTTTGGTGTGGCATCCCAAGCCATGCCTGCAGGGGTCGCGCCAGGTGTCACGCCACCGGCAGGGGTTGCATCTGAGTCATTCAAACGACCGGGAGTTGGAGTCTCGTCCCACCGATTTTTCCTGGAAATCGAGGGCGTCGCATCACCTAATCTCCCAGGGGTGGGTGTTGCATCCCATCTCCCGATTCCAGGGGTCGAGTCGGGCATATCCCAGTCAGAACCCGACTTAGTCTTTTTAACACCGGAGCTCTCGTCCTGTGAGACATCCCATCTATTCCTCTTCTTGGGCTTATCGGTCTCCTTTTCCTTGGCCTTCTCCTTCAGCTCCTCCTCTTCTTTCTTCTTCTTTGCGATCTCGCGCTTTATCTCCTCCTCCTTTCGCTTCAGGGCTTCCTCTCGCATGACGTCAGCATAAGTCCTGACCTCAGGCCCCGGGGTCTTGTCCAGGAAAGGATCATTTCTATCGGGGGATATAATCCTGTTCAGCCTCCTCCGCCTGTAATCATCCTCACGATCGATGATCTTACTAGGCTGCTTGAACCCAGAGATCTCGTCCTCTTCCCCGGCTCTCAGAGGCTCCTTGAAGAACTGCTTGGGGGCAGTAAAAGACGACATCTTCCTCGCAATCTCATTCTCAGTGACATCAAAATTATCTTCATCGTCATTGACAGGAATGGACTGCTCATAGCCCTCGAACTTATTCGAACTATAAAGGTCAGTGTCAAAAGTCAGAGAATCGAGAGCAGCGATTTCTTTCTCCATTTTCTGTCTCTCCTCTTTGACCCTCTGAATCTCGGAGTCCACATCCATCTTGAAAACTTTGAAACTACCCAAAATCAATAATACAAACCCTAACCCTACCTTCAAAGCCCAGCTACCAACTAACGAAACCAATCAATTTGTGGAAGAAAACACCTGAAAAATCAAGAATTAGTTAGGCCAGTAAAAGTTTAACATATGTTCAAGATAATTTACCACAACAGATCAATCAAAAGACAGATAATTGAGAGAACAAAAAACTCCAGCTACTCTCAAACAGCAAACTACTCAAAAACGAAACGAAAACACACGCATAGAGATATAAAGTATAGATCAACAATCAGCGCAGCATATATTTACGAAATTAGGGTTTTGGATCAAGTAATCACTAATCACTTACCTGTGGGATTTTTCTCTTCGTGAATAAACAGAGCCGCTGCGATTTGCGAGATACAAATGAGGTATCCACTTATAAAAGGGTCAAATCTGAAAGTCGGTTCGGGTTCCAGACTTTCGGGTACCGTCTTAAAGAGACCAAATGGCCCAACCCTTTTACATAACAGGCTTTAAATGTAAACGGGTCCTTTACTGACAAATATATACAAAGGCCCAAATTTATAAAAGGGCCCATCTAAACCAATCGCTTCTAGGCCTGCTACCGATTTGGTAACCGAACCAGAACACCATACCGATACTGAACCGAACACATTCGGTTTCACTAGTATGCAAACCGAAATCGACCGATATAAAACGGTTCGGTTTTGGTTTAGACCGAACAAAAACCGAAAAAATAAAAAAATAAAAAAATGGAATGAAACAGAGGCTTATGATTTAACAATACCAGTTAGCACAGTATTGCTCCTCGCAACATATGAATACACATATATAGCAACATATTATGTGATGTAGGGAAGCGTGAACGAACGGGAAGATACAAGAAGATACTCTCTCCAGAACACGGATACTCTCCAAAAGAAAACACGATCAATTATTTTCATTCATCAAATTCTACTCCTCACCAAAGCAGAAGAGCCCTTTAAATATCTTCAAACTCAACCCTAGCTTAATATCCAAGCAACTAATAATAATAATAATAATAATAATAATAATAATAATAATAATAATAATAATAATAATAATAATAATAATAATAAACATATATATATTCTTCATCATTCTCCCCCGGTTGAACAGGATTCGGCCTTGAATCCGACGTGTTCCTGTTGGAGAAGTCACCAGGACAGGAATAATCCAGATTTTCCCCGATCGAACACGAAGCTCGAAGGTCGTCTAATCGCACTGGCGAACACAAATTCGGGCACGTATACAATGGTCGGAAAAGCAAAGGGGCCTACTTCCCGATGCAGAATCCCAGAAGCCGAACGAAAACCATAATCACTACAGCCAGAACGTCCATTGGGGGAAGACTTCGGAACAAACAATCCAACAATGTCCCGACAGCTATTGAGTCCTGAAGACGCTTCCAAAAAACCATCCGTCGCAAAAATATGTTGAAAATTCGGTCCAAACGACGGGTGTTCGGTCAAAGGGACCATCGGGAGGATGTCCTACGTGGAGCCAAAAGTGCCGTCAATATGTATCTCCGACACCGAAGGCTCGTCATCAAAAATAGGCGGACCGTCGTAAATTGGCCCGTCAACGTGATCCTCGTCGTAGGCAAAAATTGCAGCTCGGAACGGGCCCACCCCTTGACCAAATTCGTTGCCATAACCCCTCTGTA